TGTCTGTTAGTTCCGGTTAATCTCCGAAACGGGTGAACCGATTTTGACGGGACTTTCACTCTGCCAGTAAAAGTCCTGTCAAAAATAATTGATATTATAAGGTGTAACTTAAGCTACTTTTATTTTAGAAAAATAATTAGGGTTCCACGCAAAAAAATTAAAACTCTTGAAACTGTGAACAAAATCCTTGTACCCACTACCTAGGGACGTACCCAAGACGTGAGGGTAAATCGCTAGTTACGAGTATAAATAAAACAAATAAATGTGATGTATTGCCCCTTCAAATAATAATAGAAATAACTTTACATTTTTCTACAGATTGGAGTTTGTGGACCGTAAATGCCATACAATTAGCCGGAATATTTCTGTACATAAATAATTAATCTCTACATATAATGAAATAACAATGAAGCAAAATCTGTACATGAAATATTATACAAAAAAATGTCTGTTATGTATTACGTGTACAAAATATAGACCCCAATAATAGTTGTTGGGCAATTTTTGTCTGTTGTCTGTAGGTCTGATTATCTGTTTGCTTTTCACGCAATAAGTACTGAACGGAATTTTACTAAATTCTCCATACAAAAATATCAATGATTTATTACACTAAAACTAATGTAGTATTAGTAGCATTTTCATATTCAACAATTTAGTGCAGTAAAATCTCTCATTCATCTACTTGTAAAAACTTCGTTTTATACATATATGTATTATAAAACGAAGTCGCCGTCTGATTCTGGATGTTTCTCCGCTTCTTCTAAACCACACACCGGATCGTTTAATACCGGTTTCACGATTAGAAAGAACGACAAGCGCGAATTTGTATATAATTTGTAAATATCTTGTAATATATATATATATATATATATATATATATATATATATAGGTAAATGGTGAAAGGTAGAAAAATAGGAATAGTTTAAGAAAAAGTCAATGCAAATAAGATCTATGTATGTATGTAAAAATAATGTTTACTCATTTTATATTTCCTTTTTGTATTAACATGCATGCGTGTAATTTGCTGGTCAGTGCTATGGACACCTGTTAATGACTAACATACTAGAACTTGTGATTTAGTATGAAGTTACACGTAATATTTTTTTATCACGTGTTATGTTGTTAGTGTTATATAAAATAAAAAATAAAACCAAATCCGGGTCTACGAAGCTGGTAAAAACAGTTTGAACACGTGGCTTAATGTGTCATAGTGAAACTATCAAAAACGTGACAGGAAACTGAGACAAGGGGAGACAACGTCACATTATGCATATGTTAAATTTTTGATGGACAGTAAGACAGTTATTTATATTAAACTATTATTTATATTAAACTAGCAGTTATTTATATAAAACTTTTTATTCTCTTCCGTTGCAGTTTTTGTATTTTTTCTCAGAAATGAGATATTTTCCCGCGATAAAAAGTATCCTATATGTTAATCCGGATAACCAGCTATCATCATATCAAAATTTCATCAAAATCCCTCCAGTGGTTTTTCGTGATGCGGTAACAGATAGACAGACAGACAGACAAAAATTCTAAAAACTATAGATTCGGCTTCTGTATCGATTATAATGTTTATTTCAATAAGATTTTCCAAAAAATATTTAATGTACAGATTCGGCTTAGTTACAATTTTATTATATGTATAGATCTGTCAGTTACACGACCAAAGTAGTATATTAATAATACAATCCATATAAGTGCTTAATTTAATTTAATTTAATTTAATATAATATATCATGAGGTTATTTAAAGCTACCAATTTTGTCAACTTAACTGTACAATTAATGTCTTTCGCCAGCTTCTCTAACGAAGTTTTCTTCTATTTCGCAAGTGATATTAAAAAAATATAGAAAACTTATGCAACCAATATTGTATTTGTTAATTTAATATCTAGAAGACGAAATTTTTGAGTCGATACCAGCCTAAAAAATATTTGATATTTTTGAAATAACCCTTTGCTTTAATTGAAAAATATTACAAATCCCATAACGATTTATAATACTAGCTTAGGATACATGATATACACCTATTTAAGAACTAAGCTTAGAAAGTTTAAGTACGTACTATATTTTAAAATTTATTTCATCCACTTAATTTTATTATTTTTATGGCTAACTTTGTTACTGTTGAGACTATAATTAGTTATAAACGGTGATCATGTGCATAGTGTAAATAATATTTTAATTCTAAATATATATGATATGATGGGACTTTAATACATAGCACCATCTACATACTATATACATTCTACTCATTTAAAAGTTCTATTTAAATGACTACAATGAATCCTGTATGATATAACAAATTGAACGTTTTCGTTAATCTATGAACTATTAACAATAGGGATTATAACTTTCGATCTATAAAGCCAGTCATTGGATTGGAAACTTTGGAATTGAGAAGAAGCTAGATCAAGAATACACTGCAGGCATGTTTGCATTCAGTCTGGCTATTTTAAAATAGATGCAAATAGAAAAACGAGACAACTAACAAACCATCATTATATTATTTTCATATCCATATATATAGAGGTTACAGGAAAATAAGGGTATTTATAGAACAAAACTTTAGTCTCGGCTAGATTTAAGTATCACTCAGAGCGAGCGGAAGGAGTATGGTAGAGCCGCTACGCTTACTGTAGCGCTTAGCACTCAATCTCTGTCTATCAAGGAAGGATACAGCATCGTTATATGTCTTAACTCTCAACTCTAGACTAACCCTCTTGTAATATTTTATCTATAATGGAAATCAAAGTAGGACTATAAACTAAATAATATATAACGGCGAAATATTATATGTGTCGTTTAATATCAAACATTGACAGGCATTTGACAACATTGGCAGGTTTTTGATAAATTGATTTCTTTGATTTCTCTGCACTAGTACGACTGCCCAATTATAAATTGCATAAAGAGTTCAGTAAATTAACTTTTCCGCCTGCGCCTTGGATTAATGTGATTATCTCAGTGCTATTTTGATAGTTTTAATATTTACTGCTAGTATTTTTATTAAATATTCATGGGATTTATAATGGCACAAGTTTAGTATATGGGACGCGGCCCCTGGCGGAGTAGGTGGTATTTTTGGATTGGGTAGGTGACAGGGAGCCCAAATATATAAAAATTATTTTAAGGAAACGTAGGAGTAAAAAGTTATTGAGACTTAAAGTTACAACATTTTCATACATTTCGTTACCAACTGGCAGAGTGGGTGGTATTTTTGGATAGGGGAGGTGACAGAGAGTCAAAATATATAAAAAATATTTTTAGGAAACGTTAGAGTAAAAAGTTATTGAGAGTTAAAGTTACAACATATCTAATACATTTCCATACATTTCTTTACATAACTATGTGATTACAAAAGATAAACATACCTTTAACGAATAGTAAACATCCTTTTTTATGTACAATACATATTTCCACCACAATTAAGGATTTATTGTATTTAATTTTTTAATAATTTCACAACAGTACCTATTGTAAGCAAAATGATCTTACATTTTGACAACTATTAATTTCTATTTTACATTACCGCCTAAATGACAACAGATTATATTAATACAATTTATAAACGTGAGTAGACTATTTTTAAAATCTAAGTGTATTATTTACTTTTGGTTTTTATTTTGCGACATCGTGGTTAGTTTAAGACATTTTATTTATTATTCTTCATATCTTGGTTAGGTTATATTAGAACAGTTACCACAACGCACGAGCCGAGCGATCGAAGCGAGCATGCCGCGGTAGCGGCCGGCGAGTGCCATTATTATATGAGTAGAAATCTAGAAAATTCAAATTTCACGCAGTGTATAATTAAAAACATAATCTGGAGATCATTTTGACAATTGAAAGTGACTTTTTGATATTTCCAAGTGTCTAAATGGCAGTAATGTCTAAATAATGTATGGAAAAGTTGTAACTTTAAGTCTCAATAACTTTTAAATCTTTTGTTTCCTCAAAATAATTTTTATATATTTGGACTCTCTATCACCTACCCTATCCAAAAATACAACCCACTCTTCCAAGGGCCGCGTCCCATATACTAAACTGCAGACTTTATAATAATCAATACTCGGATATTGTTATGTTTATTTTATTTACTAATATGAATCCTTTGTGACATTGCCTGATATGCTCTGTGTTTGCCTATTGCTTGAACTTTTAAGGTAAACAGAAACTGTTAAAAATGTGTCTGCTATTTAATCTGTTTTCTATTTTCATATGTATGTATGTATATATTTTTTTTGGTGGAACATAAATAAAAAAAATAAAGGAATGAATCTTTTGTTTGGAAGTACTCTTTAAATATATAAATTCAATTCAATTTTCTTATTAATGGCTTCAAAGCGTGCCAGTTGAGCACAGATTACTTCCCCAATGTTACATGGAATTTTAGAAATGTACAAAGATAACACGGAAACGTACTAATAAAATCAAATATGGGCAGCACTGCAGTATCTAAACTTAAACACGGAATAATATCTTATGTTTTGTAAGGCTTTAAATACCCACTGTTAGATATACTAGATTTTACTGACATTATCTTTATTATCGAGTTAGGTAAATTATGATTTATACATTACTACAATATGGTTATATTATAATTATTTTTGACTAGGTAAATTTATAACTTATCTTGACTTCCGAATTCCTAAACTGAGTTAATGTTCTTTAAATATAATACTAACACATAAATTATATGGTTCTTATTAAAATATTAACAAACTAAATTTATAAGCAAATGTTTACAAGAAGAAAAACAGAAAATTCATAATATTTCAGTTTTACGAAGTTATAATACTCTAACCCATTTATACTTCCAAGATAAATAGACATTGAACTCTGCGAAATCGTTAACACGTCACGACTATTAAATAAATCCTTTAGAGCTTGTGAGCTTCTAATTTACTATCTCTGTTTGCTTATCTGAGTGGTTTGTAAATATAAAAATAGTATTAAAGTTATTCAAATTATAAAAAAAATAAAAAACTTGCCTGGTGTCCATCTTAGAAGTATTAGGTTTCAGCTAAGTGGTTGGTTTTGAAAATTTTTCTTTGTTCTTTATCTGACGAGGCCCTTTCTCGTTTTGCTAACGATTAGGCATACAAGAAGCACACTGTACGACAGTCAACTTAGCATCTGTTTGTAAAGCGATTAACACGCCTGTTCCTGCTACCAAAGTTGTCATTTTCATTTACTGATTTTCAACCTTGTTGATTTTAGTAAATTATTTTATTATATTTATAGTATATCTCCGTAACTATATCACATTAACAATAAATATTTTTGCACAAGTCACATTTTAATTACATATGCACCAACACATCTTTATTTCCACTTTATCTATTTTTTTTAAATAAAGAAAAAAATAGGAGTAACTTTTTTATTCATTTTTTTTGGGTTTAAATGTCTATTATTAAATATATTTTTTTAGTTAGATTTTGTTTACGGATATTAAGCGTTCGGAAAATACCGTATAAAAGTTTCAGGAGCGTGAGTGCGAGAGACGTAAGGTAGCTACGCTCTTTCCTAGACGAATGCGCGCTCCGCGAGCACCTACCCTGTACTAAAATACTTTTCAGAGGTTATGTATGGTGTGTCAATGTACAATACTTATCCACATTATTACCTGATTTTAACCTTATGATACTATACAAATGAACTGTATACAGGTGAAATCGTTTCACAATTTTTTTAAGTTAGTAAATCTTGTGTAAAACATTTTCATTAAAAATATATATGTTATTAAATATCGCAGTGTAACTTGTTATTTAGAAGATTTATGAAAGAGATTAAACATGCGAATTAAGCTATTAACTTGGATTACTCCTTTGGTTCGGCCGAAATGATTAACAGGAAAATGTCTACGTTACAAAATCTGACTATTATTTACAACTAGCGACGCACCCTCGCTTCGCTCGGTCTCGTCTCTGGGTGATTCTTTAAATTGGCATAACCTTTTTTATTTATTAACCAAATATAAAAATAAAACATTTTTTTTATTATATATATATATATATATATATATATATATATATATATATATATATATATATATTAAATGAAGCTTACCACAATATATTCAAGAAGGATCTTGCAATGATTTCATATAAGTTGGAGACTTATAGGTTTTATTGTATTTTTCATGCAAACTAAAATAAAAATACTTTCATTAAGAATAAACACTTTTTTGTAAATAGTAGTGCAGTTCAAATACTATAAAATTAATAACATGAAACTAAAAACGCCAAAGTCAAGCAATGCCAAGTTGTGTAGCGGTAAGACAAAAGTGCTGTTAAAAGTTATCAGGCCCTGATTACCCCATAAAATAATATTATAGTAATGAGTAATAAAAAAGGTATGGAGGGCAGTAGGAATATGCGAAAATATCATCATTTTAACCCTCTTCCTTAATACTCTCCGTCTGGGTCTCATGAGGAACAAGATAAAGTTAATGGACCAAAAGAAAATATAAATTTCTATTTTCCTATTGAATGTTTCTATAAAAGTTTCTTTCAATGACTATATTTCATGGCATACTTTTAGTGATATATTTCTAATGGAGATCTATTAGTTCCCACGGGAACCGTTTATTTTTCCGGGATGAAAAGTAACCTGTTGTTTGAACGGCAATATAAGGTATCAGAAAGTTAAAGTTTACTAAATTAGGTGCATAAGTTATTGTGTACTAAGCTGTATAAGATACTAAAGTTTTTTAACTATCCCACGGGAACTCTTTAATTTTCTGGGATGAAAAGTATCTAAGATGTTGGCCGGGGATATAAGGTACCACCATACAAAATTTCATTTAAATCTATCCAACAGTTTCGGAGATTAGCCCGTACAAACAGACAAACAGACAGAGAAACAAAAAAAAAGAAAAAAATCTGGATTTGTTCTATTTTTATTCTTACGGGATGTAAGAAGATAACTGACTCGGTTTTTAGCTCTACTCTTTTATTATAGTATATAGATACTGAAATTAAAATGTTTACATAAAGTAAAGAGTAAAAGTGGTTTTTTAAATTCTTGGATAGGAAATATAAAGTTATAATTCGAATATAATTCAGAATTCGTTGATTTAATTTCTATAAAATTTATTTTATAACTTAAAGCAGCTAGTGTTAGCAGAAACCTGTATCTATGTAACGAAATCTTTGAACGCGATTTTCACTCTTTTTTTATAGACGCGAGAGAAACTGCTCATGAAATTAAGTTAATTATATTTTCAATTTCAGTTTAAACTCAATGTGGCCATTCTTCAAATTTTACAATATAATGGTAAAATGATGATTTTAGTTCTAATATAATATCAAATAAGAACGTTACGCTGTATTTAACGTGATCGTGCTAATTGTACACAAACGACAAGGACAGTACTATTTTAATATAAATATACATTTTTAGGAAATAATAAATTCATATTTTCATACATAATAATTCTGTTGGTTAAAATATTTTTTAAATTTCGAGCGTATGCCTATTAATAAAATAACCTCAATAAACCTAAAAATATTTCAGTGTGTATAATAAATAATTAATTGAATCGTTTGTATGTGTTTTATGAGTTATTATTATTTAAGGGTAATATTACTGCTTATTATTTAACGACTATTTTTTGTTGAGCCGAGGATATCTCGACAGCGCGGCAGCGTTAATCATCTTTGATGGCTGGATAACTTTCTATATATTTCCTAAATGCTTACCCTCATACAATTCCTCGTATGAATTGATATATTTTCTAAGTATTTTCTTTTCTTAAAAACCTTTTCGTCCGGTGGTTGCCCATTGGGAGTACGCTAGGCTTAAAAACAGGATGAAGAGGGTTGAATCCTTTGAGATTTTCATTAGCCAATCTCGTTTTCAACATGATTATTATTTGCTAATATAGTGATCGTTCAACAAACGATTGACAAACAATATCGAGGACCGACCTCGACAAACTCATTCGAAGTCCGCCAACTCATTTGGCGTATACTATATTGGCGTGGACAAATAGCGTAATCGCCTCGATTGAGCGAAAGCCATTGCTCAGTAATGGGATGTGAAAAAGGTTAATCAAAAAATTAGTTTAATACTATTAAATAACAAACATTATAAAATAATGATTGCATTAAATTTCCAAATCTCTCCTGCAAAATACACTCTAAAGATACGTTTAAGAAAACAGAGCCTTCTAATAAAATAACGGGAAATAAGGATCTAAGTCTAAATGGGCCAACTTTAGTAATTAAGTATGCCCTTTTCAAACTTTGTTTTAAAATTAAAAATAATACGTTTTTAAGGCCTTCATGAGAATAATTTTCAAACTCTGAATGAGTTTCTTCTTAGAATATACCTTGCAATAGATATAAGAAAAAAATATTCTTTACCAATATTTTGATTTAGAAAATTAATGTAAGTAAATATTTTCCATCGATACTAATATTATATGTGAAAGTGTGTTTGTTTGTTTGACTTTCTTTTACGTCGAAATATAGTAACAGATTGACGTGATTTTTTTGTGAGAACAGTTGGAGGGCTGGAGAGTGACATAGCCTACTTTTTACCCCGGGAGATTATCTCATTCGCACGGGAGAACACGTTATAATACAACCCAAAAAATATTTATGGTCAGAATTACTTGAAACTTGGTATTAATACTCTTTAATACAATTAAATAAATACGTGTTTTAGCGTTTTTTTAAATTCATCCCATAAGAGGGTAAAATAAAAAGTTTGTGTGAAACCTGCCTTTTTAGAGTTTTTTTGTAGTTTTAATGCGAGCGAAGCCGCGGGTTCTGCTAGTAACAATATAAATGTTATTTTAAAGCTCTTATCAAGTAGAATCATAAATTCAAAAAATGATTTAAATTACTTCGCTCAACAGAGAATTACTTCAAAGACTTCAATTTTTTCACTTTCTTTAATCCAATTTTATTTAATACTAGCGGCTCACCCTCGCTTCGCTCGGACTCGTCGCTGGGTACTTCAAGGAATATTCTAAAAAAAGAATTAGCGAAATCGGTTCAGCTGCTCTCGAGATTTGCGCTTACCAACACATTCAGCGATTCATTTTTATATTATAGATAGTAAGTAACGTATTACCTATTAAATAAGTAGGTCTTTAATTTTTTTTTCAGTAATTTAAATAAATGTTATAAAACTTGGGCACTTTCAAATAGTTGAAAAATTTGAGGAGTTCTATGACATTTTAATACCAAAATAAGTTTGCTTTACCATTAGCGCTAACGTGTGTATTAATAATACCACCTATGAGATCTGAGATCTTCTTTCCTATAACATCGCTGAATATTTATAATAGGTGACATAAATATATAAAAAGGCAAATCATCTTTTTGTTGAAATAATGAAAAAGAGCCCAGCATCCCACGACCAAAAAAAAACGAACAAAAGCAAGCCGCGTAAATGCTACATCATATCATCCAATATCCTAGATCATAGTCCAACTATGATCGTAATATTGTCTTAAAACGGGTTTTTTTTAATTAACCCACGATACGATTTGCAACAATCTTATAGAAACCCACTTGAAATTCTGGGATTGAAATTAACCATGAAATGTCATAAACCAATACCGAAGATGTCCCTTTTCCTAGACCTTGTCTTTCTTTAATAAGAACTCGACCCATTTTGATAGGAAAACTTTCTTTGGAAACTCTGTTTAAATTAATTCAGCGCTTTCAAGTAATAGTGCAGGCACAAAGATAGATGGCGTTTACTTTGACGATATTATACGAGCATTTGTGCTCGATTGAAATGAAACTTAATTCAAATAGACTTATTACAAGCACTTTTGAATCGTTAATTTAAAGAGCGTCAGTGTAGTCAGTCCGTGAGGAAGCTACCACCGGCTAGGAAAGCATATCTGCTGAGAAGGGTGGACAAGAAATTCAACAGTTGAAACACTTGAAATGATAAATGGAATCGTATCGCTTTGTACCGTTTTTATATCAGACTAGCAATAGGCACCAATGGCTTTGCTCGCGTTCAAACTACAAAACA